CAACACTCCTAAGAAAATGAAATTATACTTTTATATTTTATCTGTTAAAAAATAACCTTTTATTTAGTAATTATATTTGTTATTTATAAAATATAATAGTTGCCCCTTTATTTTATTATAAAAAAAATAAAGAATAACAAATTTTGGACACAAAATAATAAATAATTACTGAAAAAATAGTCTAAAAAAGTCTAAACCACCAAATTAATATGCATTCACCCAAACGTACTGCCCGATTAGTTCTCATCCTCTAATTAAGCGGACTAATGCGAATTGATTTTTCTCAATTTATCTAAGTTCAAACGTATGGCAGATGAGAAGTTCTTTGACCCAACCCAATTCTCAAGAATATGTAACATATATTTATTATTGTTTTTTTAACCTTCACTTGTACTCAACTCTCGCAAAAGAATTACTGTTTAACCTTCTGTTGGAGTCATTCCCTATGAGTCAACTGAACTGCTAAAACTTCAACCATAGCAATAGCTTCTTCTACGTCATCCTTATTTTTACCAGCCACACGGCCTCTTAAGGCTTCCAGTGCATCTCTAAGCTTCTTTAGAAGTACATGTTTCTTTAAAGAAGTAGCGTCCCTGAGTCTAGCCTCATCACACAACTTAGCTGCTGCAGCCGAACCTTTCTCAAATTAACTGGCAAGGCCACGAACAAAGAGGCGTTTCTGCTGTTCTAGCAATTGAGGCGTTTCTGCTGTTCCAGCAATTGGGCAGTTTCTCGAGCAATGACCTCCTTCGTGGCTAACACTTTGGGATCCTCCACCTCCACAATCTGGTTGTTAGCACCAATTTTATAAGTTGGAAACCGACTAGTAGCAAATATCACATCTGTTGAGACTGGAGGAACTGTTCCTTTTTCAATGAATCAGCAAAATCACGGCCTACTCTCGTCATGATACGAAATTTAATTTAGATCACGTAATTAAGTACTAACTAACAGAGGAGATTGAGATGAACAATGGCAAAGTTTGGTCTTGGTTGCAGGCAGACTTGAATGATGTTTCGAGAGAGAGAGAGAGAGAGAAATCTTTAAAGAGACAATCAGATCTTTATTTATTTTTAGTTATTGATAATGATGATGATGATGATGATGATGAAACATATTAGAACAAGAAGATAGAGAAGATGAAGAGAAGAGATAATAAAATTTGAATAGGTTTGTTCAATATTTGAACAAATAATAAATATTTGGACAAATCTGTTCAAAATTTGAATAGATAATGGCTTGGTGTATTTTAATAACAAAGGTTTGAATAGAGAAAAATCAACAAACAGAATTTGGGAAAAAAATTGAACAACTAATAAAATGAACATGCGTTTGAACAAATAAGGGGAAAAAATAAACAGATAGTCAAAAAATTAAACAGATAAAAAAAATAATTGAATAGATAGTGGCTTGATGTATTTAAATAACAAAGATTTAGTAAAAAAATTGAACAGATAATAAAGTTTGGATATATAAATTTAAAGAAATAGATAGAATTTATGAGGAAAAAATTTCAACAGATAAGGAAAAAATTTCAACAGATAGTTAAAAAAGATAGGTATAAATTTGAACATACAGAAAATAATTTGAATAGATAAAAAAATGAAAAGTTAACAGATAGATAGAATTTAGGAGAAATTTGAACAGATAGATAGAATTTATGAGAAAAAAATTAAACAGATAATTAAAAATATTGAATAGATAGATGTAAATTTGAACATACAGACAAAATATTTCAACAAATAGATATAAATTTGAACAAATAGTCAACAAAAAATCAAACAGATAAAAAAATTAAGGGGTAAAATTGGAAATAAAATATCCTTAAGGACTTCTCACCAAATTATTTTTCGAAGTGTAGATCTTTTACCAACAAAAAATATTTACTAGACCTAATACCTTATACTTTCCTTTAATTAGATTTATCACTAATTTTCTATATAAAAAAATTAAAAAATGGCACATCGAAGGCGACAAAAAAAGACAATTTTATTTATAGAAACTGTTAATAACCGCTTTAGTATGTATAAAATATGTATTGAAATGAGTAGTAAACATATAAAAAGAATACTTTGAAATGGTTAAAAAAATACATTGATATTCTAACTTTTTTGATATTTTCTCTCCTTAGCATTAGAATAAAATTACAAAAATCATCATATTATAACTGTCTAAACATAACCTCAAGGGGTTGATTTAGTGGGCACAACTTAAGCCTTAGAGGTATGCTCTATTCAGGTTTCAAAATAAGTTTCTTAGGACTAGTCTATATAGAACGTTTGCTTTGGGTTTAAATGAGACCCCCGCAAGTGGGTGGTGGAATTGGTCTCTCGAGATTAGTTGAAGTGCCCATAAGCCGGCCCGAGCACCCAGTTATCAAAAAATAATAAAATAAAATAATTGTCTAAAAAACAAAAATAAAAAATAACTGTCTAAACATTGATTAAAAAAAAAAAGAGATCAAAGGTTATTGCAATACAACTTAAAAAGAAATTTAATATTAAAATGAAACCAAAAAAGAGATTCTGCTGCATGAAAAATAAACAATAAATCTATGGACAGTAATCAACTACAAAACCAATCATATGATTCCATGATTAATATAGTCATGTTGAAAAATAAATCAGGTTACTGACGAGTGGAAGATGAGTTTGGAGCTGTTGAGCCAAATTACCATTTCTCGTGGGCCCTTTAACTAATCGGCAATTAGATATAAGGGTTCACACATGTTGTTCAAAGGAATCTTCAATCTATATGTATATGTATTATTGTTAGAGGAGTTGTTGGACTGCTTAAGGAATTTCAATTTCAATTGGGTCCTTTAGAAATTTTCAACTTTTTAAATAAATTTTTTACTTTTTAAATGCATCTAATCATGTCTCTTGGGCCCTTTAGAATGTTTGGGAAACAATTTCAATTTGTGTGATTGCAATTTTTTTCAATTTAATTTTTTGAAAATTAAATTTTTATTTTTTTATTTTTTTTATTTTTAATGAATGTTTTTAATATTTTGAGAAAACTTTTTAATTTTTAGATAAACTTAATATAAATACAATTTAAAAGGATAATATTTATGAAAAAATTCTTTAAAAAATTCACTAAATAGCAAAAATACAATATATATATATAAATTCAATATATTTTTTGTATTCTTGTGTATTTATTGATTTTTTAAAATATTTTTTTACAAACATTTTACTTTTTAGGTATATCTAGGTTAGGTACATTTAAAAAGTAAAACATTTTCTAAAAATATTTTTACAAAAAATCACTAAAACCAAAAAATATGAAAAATAAAAAATTCAATTTCCAAAAAATTGAATCCAAAAAATTGACATTAAACATAGTAATACATTTCTCAAACCATCCCATTAGGCCTACATACATATGAGTTGTTTTAAAAATAATTCAAACAAATTAAGGTAGAGACCTTAGATTACATGTCTCCTATAATGAAAATAACTCTAAGTACTCAATATGCAGTGGGGTGCCGACAACATGCACTCATAAGAAAGTAGTAGCAGACTCGTGAATTTCATCACCCATGCAATGATAACTAGAAAGAACTCAAATTCCTTCACCCTTTACACAATAGATGCCCCAGCATAAACTCCTAATATTATTTAAAACAAAATATAATGGCTCCTAACATATTTTGTAAAACAAAAAAAAAATAAAGTCGTGTCCCTACCAGGCCACATTCAAGCAATAAACTATTGATTTTGAATTGCAAATTTTATTCAGATTTGCTGTCATATACTTGCAAAAAGGTTCTGCACGAGCTAGGATTATTCACTGCCTGCTGATTTTGAAAGGCGAGGGGGTTCATGTGTTTCATCTTCTCATCATATTTGAACAAATGTGTACCTCTTGCTACTCACAAAGGAGTTGCAAGGTTCTACTCCCACTCCAGAGAAAGTGACTTTGCTCAAGCTACAGTTGCTAAGCATGGGAAAGTTCAACTTTGCAGACTCTGCAATATCCATCCAGATAAAATCTATTTCTTTCTTTTATTCTTTTTATATAATAAAAAAAGCACCGGATCATAACTCTAGATGCCGAGTGTGAGTTTGTGGGTTTTAAGTCTTAGGATAACCATTTGTGCATATTATTCCAAATATTAAGAGTTATATCAAATTCAAATATGCACCTCCCAAGACCCTCATATAATGGGAGCCAGTAAGTAGGGATGAACTTTCTAATAAAACAATGCAGGACATAATGATAAAATTCAACTCCTCAAAGTACACTACAAGAATTCACACATTTGCCGACCACTTTTGCTGACAAAAAAAAATTTGGTCGCAAAAAAATGACATTTGCCGACCAAATATTAATTAGTCGTGAATGATCATTATTTTTGGCGACCAAATATTATTGGTCGCAGAAGGTTATATTTTGGCGACCAAAAAAAGAGTTGGTCGCAGAAAGTGGTATGCTTTTGGCTACCAACTACAAATTTGGTCGCGGAAGGTGACATTTTTTTTGGCGACCAAATATTTGGTCTCCAAAAACTTATTTTCAGCAACCAAAAAAAATTAGTCGCCAAATTAGCACTTTTAGCGACTAATATTTTAGTCACCGTTGATTGAGATTTGGCAACTAAAAAAAATTGTCGACGAAGGGTACCTTTTTTGCGACTAATTTGGTATTTTGGTCGCCAAAAATTTGTGAGGGAAATTTGAAACGTGGGGCGGGAATTGAAATTTTTTATCTTTAGCAACCTGTTAGCTCACACATTTTCATTTTCTCCTCTCTCATCTGTTTCTCTCAAACAAACAAACAAATATATCAAAATATGCCCACAATGTATCCCTGTTTCTCTCACGCTCTCCATCTGTTTCTGTTTCTCTCTATTATTCACACAAGCACAAACCCTAGACCACCATTCAAAACCACCACCACCAAAAATGTCTCGCGCCGTGGTGGCGTTGCCCTATTTCCCCACTGTGAGGTCGACGGCGAACTGACCAAGGTAGAGGTCGGCGAACTGAGGTCGGCGGCGAACTGACCAAACCAGGTAGCAATGCGTGGAGCCGCCTACACTCTACCATTGCTAATCCTCTCGATTTCAGACCTCTTGCATCAGGTAAACACGCTCTCTCTCTCTCTCTCTCTCTCGTTCCCCCAATTTCAAACCCTAACTATAATTTTCAACTTTTCAGATCTTTGCCTCTCAAGAGTTTCTTCACCTTGAATTTGCTAAACCTGTAGTTTTTGCCTCCTGTAATTAATTTGATTGACATGGATTGAAGAAAACCCCTTTTTCTTATACAATTGAAATATGAAAGCCCCAAAAAATATGTTTATAAATAAATAAATATATCAGATTACACAACCCTAGCTCTTTGGCTTCCAAGGGTTTTATCAAAATGCACAGAAGTTCTAATGGAGCAAATATGAAAGAGCCCAGTCTCAATCTCTCTCAATCGTCTCATCGAAGAAGGCTATTTACTTGGTACGTTGCTTCCTCCTCTCCTTCCTCTGAATAGTCTCATCGAAGTCTCAATCTTTCTAATTTTTTTTTTCTAAAAACTGAAAGAGTAGAACATTTGAGTGTTCAATTTGTTTTCTTTCGCCCCTAGTTTTTTCTGAGCTAATTAAAACAGTTTTATAGAACTTCATACTGTTGTAAGAGAAAAATGCCCCCCAAAAATGGTTAGAAATTGAAAAAGTGTGAAAGACTCTACTTTAATGCAATCGTAAGCAATATTCATGTGAACTAGCAATTTCGAACTAGTCTAAACATGTTATAATGCATGAACAAAAACATGAGAAGAACTAAAGCAATAAACATGAATTAAATAAGAAAAACTAGAAGCCTAGAAACTAAACATGGCAAAAAGAATGCGAAACAAAGAAAGCAAATCAAGTATACATTAAATACATTAACTGGGACCTTTTTTTTTTTGTAAATTCCTCATACTCTAGCCCTTTGGTGTTTAACAGAATGATCTGCCGGTCATTTGGGGCTTGTTTGGTGCTGCCCGTTAGTTTTTTCCCAGGTTGATTCTAGATCGTTTGCAAATCAAATTTTGGACTTTTTAGGACTTGAAATCAACTTTGAAAATGTTCAAAACACATGGGATATAATTATAAGTTCAAAAAGAGTTTATGTTGGGCAAAAATCATTTTGAGGCACGAAAGAGGTTCGGATTTTAGCAAAATGTGAAAAAATGAATTTCTAGACCTAAGACGATTCCATATAAAGGCTAGGTTCACAAAATTCTTCATAATTGCTCTTCTATGTCATAGGGGAAATTTGAAACGTGGGGTGGGAATTGAATTTCAGAAAAAAAAATTAAAGCCCTGATCTCCCTTGTCTCTATCTAAAAAAAGCCCTAATCTGTGTCTCTCTATGTTGGCCTGCCCCTCCCTCTTTCTGTGTTCTCTCTCTCATTCGGTGCCCACTCTCTCTAGCTCACCGAAGTCCCTCACCAACATTGCTCACGTCGGTCGCACGTCGCCACCACTGCAAATCGCCATCGCCAATAATTTTCTACTTCACACTGTTGATGCATCAATCGAACCCAGATTGGGGTAATTTGGTTTAATATGGTGATATGTAATAAGTTTCTCCTAATATTGGATCTCTAGTAATCAATTTCCTTTGTTGAGAAAGAACCCAGATTGGATGTCTCTCTCTCTTTCCTTTCTCTCCATCGGCATCAATTTTCTTCCTATGAACGAAGATCAATCGAAAACGACGACATCGATCGCCTCCTTCTCGTCCATTCCGATCTCTCCTCTCTCATTCACCAGGTAACTAATTCGTACTTCTAGAGAGAAATGAGATAGCAATTTCATATTTGATCGAACAATGGTTTGGAGGAAATTGATTCACTGAACTGCATCATTCTCTCTCTCCTTGAATTTTGTCACAAACTGCATATATATATATATATATATATATGCTACGTGATCAGAAGGAAGACTACAGATGATTAATCTGCATATATATTAATCTGATAGATTTTACGTGATCAGAAGGAAATTTTTTTCACCGAGTTCGACGTCTTTTTTGTGATACAGATGATCAATTGCTTCTCTTTCAACTTGTTGGCCTCTAACCTAGGTAATAAATTCCCACCTGAACAATTTGATCTTTTCTTCTTGAACTTCACAACGATTTCACCTAAATATGTTTGGTTTTGCTGTTAAAATCATAAAGAATATTTTATGTTATTAACCTTTTCTCTCTATTACTACGTTGCATTCCATTTCAATTTCAAGTTTAGAGTTTGTATCTATGAAGAATTTATATCTACTTCATTGTGATAGAATTTTCTATGGACTAATTTTGTTGTACGTCTAGTTTCAATTTTTCTGTTGATAAATAATATGGGCACAAATTTGTATAAAAAAGGAATTTCCTTATAAGCAGATGAAAATCTTATCAGTTTTTTGTAGGTTGTTTTGTGTTCAAATTGAGTTATGACAAAATGTTAATTATTAATCTTTGCATAAAGGGGGTTTCAATGTTCTTCTTTTTTCCTTTTTTGCTCTGTTCTTTGTTTCTATTGGTATGCTTGAATTTTCCTTGTGGTTAGGCCACTGCTTTTCTATTGGAGCCATGTAGTTATGGTTGAATAGAATACCACCTTTTATTGTTGCTTTAGTCTCCACACCAAAAGCTAATTTAACCTACACACCAACAAATGTGGAGCAGATTACAAATTTTCTCTCCTTAGTCACTTTTTAATGCTTGTTTTCTCTCTTTATGGTTGAATAAAATTTTCTCTCCTTATTTTCTTTCTATATCATGTTTGATTTGTCACGATTTGAGATAATCTGAGTGTGCACTTATGAGTTTTTATCATCGCTTTGAATCGAAGGGATGCTAGGGAATTTTGAAATCGATCTCTCATTCCCCAAATTCCCTCACGACTTTAAAGGAGAGAACTTGTGGGTTTTGTGTTTGAGTTTATCATATATATGATAATGGTTTTTAGGATATAGAACTTGATTGAATTTTATAGTTTGTGCATTCAATTTACAAAGATATCTAGATAGATTTTATACTGTTCCATTAGTGACATTGTTTGGTCATTTTTAGGTCTGTGGATAATTTTTTGGTCAAAATTTAAGGGCAAATAACTCATCATTTTTTTTATCACTTTATTTAATTGCTTGGTTTTGCATTTATATATAGGATAAATCAGCAGATGTTCGTAAAGCAGCTGAAGTATGCATTGGTGAAATTTTCAGAGTCTGTGGTCCTGATGCAGTATGTAGACAAAAATTTTTGGTGCCTCCTTTGGTTTTTGTCAAAAATCTAGCAGAACTCCTGAGTTTATTGTCTTGTTACATGACTAGGTGACCAAGAATTTGAAAGATATTCAAGGACCTGCCTTAGCTATTGTTCTTGAACGACTGAAGCACTCTGGGGCTTTTCAAGGTATGTTATAGTGAAGTTTGTTGAGGTTTTATTATCTTTGTTCGGTAGTGCTGTTTCATAGTGACATAATTTTTTTTTGTTCCCAGAAACATTTGAAGTGGCTAAAACAATATTGATGGGGCCATCATTGAAAAGTGGATCAAAAGTTCACGAACCAGACGAGCACCTTTCCCAACATATTTCTTAACAAGTTCACGAAGCTAAATTGTACAAGACTACTTGGCAGTATGAGCATTTTTGGGAGGATTAAATATTTTTGGATGGATGTGTATGGATAACAAATATTAGTAGTTTTATTTGTTGATAGCTGCGCATGGATAACAAATAGTTATGTTTCAAATTGTTATGCTAGATGGATGTGACTTGTGAATGAAAACTTAGAATAGTTGTATTGTGTCGAATGTTAATGAATTATGTATTGTGTCGAATGTTAATGATTCAGTTAATTTGAATGATGCTTTGAAATTATAGGTTTATTATGGATTGAATGAATTATTAGGAATTACAGGTGTATTGTTTTCCTGCTTTGGTGACCAATTTATTAGTCGCGACATCCAAAATAATTTTTTTTCGCAAAAAATGACAATTGCCGACCAAGAGTTTTGGTTGCAAAAAATACATCTATTGCCGACCAAAATAGCTCTTGGTCGTGGAAACTCACTTTTGCTGACCAAAAGTTTTGGTCGCGAAAAGTAACAAATGGCGACCAAACTTTTTGGTCGTGGAATGTCACAATTGGCGACCAAACTTTTTGGTCGTTGAATGTGATAATTGGCGACCAAACTTTTTGGTCGTGAAATGTGTCAATTGGCGACTAAGATATTTGGTCGGGAAAATATCACTTTTCGCGACCAAAGTGTTTTAGCGAAAAAATGAATTAGTCGCGGTAATTAAATATTTAGCAACCAAAAATTTAGTCGGCAAATCCAACTTTTGCCGACCAACCAAAATTTTGGTCGCGAATTACTTTTGCCGACCCTCAATTGGCGACCAAAGTTGCGACCAAAAAAATTGGTCGCGGATAACTTTTGTCGACTAAAAATAGACTTTTAGCGACCAATTTTTTTGTTGCCAAAAGAGTGAATTCTTGTAGTGGTATTCAAGAGCTATGAGTCATCACTTAAATCTAATGCTAGGATTTATGGTTCAGCAATTGGTTTCCTAAAAGAGTGCAAAAACTCTTGACTTGTGTGGGTGAGAGGTGTGGTCAGAGGTAGTCTAGGAAGATGGGGGCACTTCAATGGCCTGAGATCACCGGAGGTGGAGAGGAGGAAGTCAAGGCGAGCTTGGAGAGGGAGAGGTTGACAGTGATGGACCTTGAACACTGATGTAGAGTATGAGAGAGGGTGCTTAAGTGTGAGACTTAGTGTGTTAGAATTATGGGGTTGTGTTGTTGTGTGGTGTCTTGCTGCATATACGATACGTTATATAGGCCACAGGAGTATTAGAGCCCAAGAAAACTGTTAAACATGTGGCTCGTTCTCCTCAATTCTGCCAGAAGTGATATAAGCCCTTCTGTCGTCTGTGGCTTGACAGCAGGCAGAGAGCAACGTTTCATAGCGAGCAGAAAGTAACGTTTCGTATATGCATTGAATGACATGAGTGTAAGGTCGTTGTTGCCTCTTCTCCAAGCCTGGTCGAGATGGAGTTATCTTAGCTAGAAGATAACTATCTCGACGATCCCATGACCTCAGCCGCCAGTCCAATATCCTCTGATGATCTCGAGCAATAGTGCCTGAGTCCTGTTCCCAACCTAGGCATCCAAGTAGGTGAATGAACGAGGGCCCACCCCAGTGTTTAGGAGAGCCAGGGGCTCGCTTCCAAGCGACCAAGTAGGAGAATGGGCCGCAGGCCTATCTCAATGTTTACGAGAGCCAGTATTTATCAATCCAAGTCCAAGTGAACCAGGGGGCTGATTATATTGTTGTTTGGTCTTGAAACGAGGTATGAAGGACCATGGGCCCTGCGGGGCCATGGTGCTACTTGTTGCAGGGCTCTTCATATTTAGATATGTTTAGGCTTATATGTATGCTCCCGTTTAAGCTAAACATATAGTCTTGGTTTTGCGTGGTGCCCTGGCACATGGCGCCCGTAGGGCTCGCCATGTATCAAATATATGACATGCCCACATGGTGCCTTATTGGTTTGTCACGTGGGTGGGGTTTTGGTGATGTGGCACCCGTAGGGCTTGCCGCGTATTGGGCTTGATACAAGTACCCACAACTTGTTCCAAACACTATGCTGGGCCTTTTCAATAAGTAATTTTCAACATATGTGCAAGAGCTATACATTGACTAAGATACATTTTGTTCAAATATACAAGACTCGCTGTATCTACTCTCAAATAAGTATACATTTTCATACTGCACGCTTCCGCTTCAGTGGCTTACTCCTCTTTGGCCTAGAATAATTTGGAACTGGTTTACTTCCATTAGAAGCATAAACCTCTTCCAAAACCTTCCTGTCCTGTAGAAAACCTTGAATTTGTAATATTTCATTTATTGTGGAGTTTATAAAGTTGAGAGTTTACTCTATTTTCCATTATGTAAGAAATCTAGTCCCTGAGTTCATGTAGATATCTCTAGTTACATCTTTCAATCAATGTCAAAATCCTCTAAAGCTTTTTTTTTTTTGGTCTTGAAAATTAAGAAATTCATACTTACATTTACAACACACTGATTTACTGTAACAAAACCAATCCTCTGTACCACATAATGAACAAATGAAATAAAGTTAAGAACTTATCCGCATCCTATCTGTCCTTACACATGATGTAAATCCTACCTGCCAATCAATGATCTACCCTAGGTTGATCTACATGGCTCAAATAATCTCCAACTAAATAATGAATTTGATCGAGATATTATTGGCGGCAGAACGGAAGAAGATGGTGTCATCTACAAATGAACTTTTGTTCTGTACCGATGAGAGTTGGTGAAAAGCAAAAGATTCTCCTATTCCATGCCTTTGTCACTGAACAACGTTCTTTAAGCCAAAATGTTTCAACAGATGAACATATAGTTATGTTGGTTCCTTTCCTTTCAAGCGTTTGGAACAAAGCATGCATAATAAGGGACGTCAACCTAAAAAATGATGTCAAAGACATAAAATTCCAAATAAATATAGATAAAAGAAACAACGAAGACAATGGATAGAGAACATGGTGTAATTACCACAAATGGAATAAGCCAGGAAATTCCAACTCCACTTTGTTGAGCAGCTATTGTAGTTGGGCCTTCGAAAGAGGAGATCCAAAAAAACCTTCTGTCAGCAGTCCCTTCGAGTAAAGATGATGTGAAAAATCAGCAATAAACTATTTATTCTGCATTTAAAAAAAAAAAATTCCATCAACATTGTTTAAAAGCCAAAGATTTAACAACTTCTTAACTACCTCATTTGCCACATTTGAAAGAGCTTGATATAAACCAATCCAGACCGGTATTGTAGCCAAAGTAGGTAAACATCCTGTTAAACACAACATTAAATAAGCCGTTGACATGCATTCGAATCATATAAATTTAAGAGCACCAAGCGGATAAAATTGATAAAAAGGAAAAAATTGGAATGGAAACCTAGAACAAGGAGGGGTTGGGTGGGGAAGGGGACACTGGACTCCAGTGATAGGGGCACACATAAATGAATAGGATGCATAAAAAAACTACAGATGTGTAACAACCCACAACAGCTATCCTATCCCAAGCCACAATTAAATTATAACCTCAAAAGACAGTTGAAAACTAATTCAATCAGGAGGACATCTTACATGAAATCACAGACAGCCAAACAAATTTTAAGTAAATAGTTCTCACAACTCATGTCAATTATGCTATCTTTTACCGATTCCACGGCGGACACGTTGCATCAGTTATAGCACCCTCTAATTTGAGTAAAGAATGAGTTACTAGACTTTTTATTTACTCCATGAATTTTGGGACAGAGCATTATCCAGTACCTAATCATACCAGGATAAACAATTTCATCTATTAGAATTGACCAATAACAATAATAATAGCGTAAATTTGTAAGCATTTATACAAATACACAGAGCTTAATGCTAAAACCATAAAACAAATGAATTTGTATATTAACGCATTGGTTGAGTTAATAGAAGCACTTCAGCTATAACTGTTAGAAATTGGGCGCCCATGTGGCATTACCCTTTGAACCTTTTGAACCCTATCCAAATAAGTTTAAATTTGAATTCAAAACCTATTTGGATAACCACTCAGGATATCTATATCTATCATATCAACTGATATAGATAGATGACATAGATATCTTATATATCTGATATGATATGGGATTTGGTTAATCAGAAAAAACAACGTATGTTTTATGTTTTTCCCATATACTGACTCTCTCCCAAAAAACAACGATCAAGCCATTTTGCACTGTGATTTGTGTGAGTGATATTCATTTTGTAATATCATTCCACTGTTGGGTTGGTTGTTTACTTTCTGGATACACGCGATTTACCCACGAGATCCTTCTCTTTAAACTCTGCTAAAAGGTATGGCTTTGAAATTAATCATTCGTTGCGTTTTATACTTTGATTTACATTGGTATCAGAGCATGAATGGGTATTTTCGTGTTTTCTTTAATCATGTGTATATTTTTATATATATATGTACACATTATATACATGAATGTTTATAAAGGAGGAAGATGTCTACTCTCATTAGATTAAGAGCATAAAATACCTCTTTTTTGATGTTCATTAATGTCATTTTTAATACCATAAATGTATTTATTTTGGAAAATGGAGTCCGTCAGTACCAATATTGGACGAAAAAACACCCTTGAAGGCGGCGCATGGGCCGCACGCACCACCTGACGCCGTGAGCGGCTTCCACGCGCCAGACGTGCTTCCGACGCGCCTCCAAATGCCATCATGCGCACGTCAGTCGCGTTGTCCACGCGCTCGCGCGCCGTGCGCTAAGCCGCGTTCTGAGCCACTCGATGAGCCGTGCGTTGAGCCGCGTGATGAGCCGCGCCATTTTTCCTCCGCTGCTTGGCTGGCTTGGCTGCTGGTACTAAGGCTCTGTTTGTTTTGTTTTAAATTCTAACTCACGTTAAATGGTCATAATTAATTCGTTACAGATTTGTTTTATGCGTGCTTGGTACTGTTAGACTCAGAATTAAATTTTCCATATTCTGTAAAATTTTGAAAATTTTATGAAAATAAAAAGTATTTTTTCTGTGATAATAATTCATTATTTATGCTTTAAAATGCTTATGATATTGCATGAATAATTTTCTGGGATTGAATTTTTTATTGAAGACTTCTGAAATGTTTTACTATTTACTGGTACAATTTTTTCAGTTTATCAGATTCTGGAATTTTTTATTTCTAATTTTATGTGTGATTA